ACCAGAAGTAAAGGAGAAAAGCTTTGTTCTTTTTTCGGGGGGGGGTCTCTGAGAGGGTCTTGAAACAAACTATTGAAGACAAGTTGAACAAAAGTGCATGCAAATGTATGTAATAAGTACTGCATCATATTGGAGCCCGTGAAGGAAATGAATCCTGGAAGAAATGGGTAAACTGAGAGTTTTTAAGTGGATTTGATGAAGATGTGGATGAGCTGGAGAGGCCACAGGAGGTCATTCACACTTCTCTAACAATGCGCCTTCAGAGTCTAGGAACAGCTCTCCCTTCAGGGAGCTGCATCACACAGGAGGGGTGTATGACCTGCGTAGGCAGAAGGTTAGAAAGCCCATCCCAAGCCCAGGGCCCAGCTCAGGGAGGATGATGAGAAAAGGCCAGAGAGTGACTTCTCCACTTCTGCCATTTTCTCTAATATCAAGTCCTATATTTGGAGGTAGTGTCCCCTAAGCCCCTGGAAATTTCTCTCTGACAGACTCATTGGGTCCAATGTACTGGATGTGGAGTTCAGAGCTGTGAGGCAGGAGCTCCTCTTCACCTTCTGCCTCAAGATATTATGGAGCAGCAGCACCTGGGAATGATACATTTCCATATATGGTCCAGCTAAGGAGGTTGATGAGTTACCATAGCAGGCTGCACCCAGCAATGGTGGAACAGAGCTCCCTAACTAGAATGTTCTGGCCCTGTGAGAATACATTTGCCCTATAAGGGCATGCCCATGTAGAACATGTCCATATAAAACATGGCCACACCCTTCTATATGGTGACACCCTTGTTATACATGGCGACACCCTTGTTCTACATGGCCACACCCTTGTTCTACATGGCCACACCCTTGTTCTACATGGCCACACCCTTGTTCTATATTGCAACACTCTTGTTCTACATGGCCACACCCTTGTTCTACATGGCCACACCCTTGTGCTTCATAGTGACACCCTTGTTCTACATGGCCATACCCTTGTTCTATATGGTGACACCCTTGTTCTACATGGCCACACCCTTGTTCTACATGGCCACACCCTTGTGCTTCATAGTGACACCCTTGTTCTACATGGCCACACCCTTGTTCTACATGGCCACACCCTTGTTCTACATGACGACACCTTTGTTCTACGTGGCTGCACCCTTGTTCTACATGGCCACACCCTTGTTCTACATGGCCGCGCCCTTGTTCTACATGGCCATACCCTTGTTCTACATGGTCGCACCCTTGTTCTACATGGCGACACCCTTTTTCTATATGGTGACACCCTTGTTATACATGGTGACACCCTTGTTATACATGGGACATCCTTGTTCTATATGGTGACACCCTCATTCTGCATAGCCACACCCTTATTCTAAATGGTGACACCCTTGTTCTACATGGCCACACCCATGGCCACACCTCTGTTCTACATGGGCACAGCCTTGCTCCCATGGGCACACCCTTATTCTGTATGAGCAGCACACACTGCTTACATGGTAACATTCTTGCTCTACACTGTGATACCCTTGCTGTATATTGTCATACCCTTGCTCTAATGAGCATGCTCTTGGTCTACATGGTCACAGACTTGTCATGTACTTCCTTTCATGTACAGGAGAAGATGGTATGCTTGATCTGTCTTATAAATCTTCTCTATCCTGTTGGCGGATTCAAACACACACACACACACACACATACACACACACACACACACACCATTTGAATTGATTATATTTTCTGTTTGAATGTGTTTGCTTTAAAAAATGTGTGGCAGTATGCCAGCATATCACTGCCAGTCAGAACAAGGGTCTCATACTCTTTTGTGTGGTAAAAATAGCATTCAAGGTACTTGGATCATTGTAATCATTGTGGCCCATTTCTGGGCCTTCACTTGCACCTGAGGATGAGGTTCGTGTTCCTGGTCAGAAAGCAGGAATACCCCGAGTACCTGGCATTCCCAGCTGCCTTCACTCAGAAGTTCAAGTGTATAGGTGGTTTCAGGTATGTCTGTGGACCCCCTCTTTATGCAAACCCTCACTTAGTGGTATTTCAATTTAAAATTCAAGATCTGTAAATTGTTAACATCAACTGTTGTGAACTGGCGACAATACTAGAATAGTTGGAAGGGACAGGTAGAAACTTTGGCAAGGTAGAGAAAGTGAGTCATGATTAAAATACCTAGCACATAGTCTATGAATTACTTTGTCTGTTTTCTATTGACATCAAAGACTATCCAGGAATGATAATTTATAAAACAATCTATGTAATTTACAATCTGGGAGGCTGAAATTGACACAGCATGATGTGAGCTCTGGTGAGAATAGTGTGGTTACATTATAGGAGAGCAGGCGCCATCACATTGTAAGACAAGAAGTCAGGAATGAGGGAAGAGTCAGGCTCCTTTGTAACAGCTCTCATGTAAGAACTTAACAGATTTCAGAAGAGCTACTAAATCCCTCCGAGGATGATGCACCCTCCTCCATGACTAAGGTCCCACCATTTAATGGCTCCATCTTTTAAAGGTCTCACTGTTTAAAGGCCCCACCTTCTAAAATCCTACTATTTAAAGATCCCACCTTCTAAAACCCCCACCTTCTAAAGGCCCCACCTTCTAAAGACCCTAACTTTTGACGGCCCCACCTTCTAGATGTCCTACCTTTGAAAGGCTGTGCTGCCTCCCTCACTGGCTCCAAGCACAGTTTTTAAGCAGCTGGGACAAGCCACTTCCAACATGGTCAGTTGACATCTCAACTACTGCCTTCTGGTATTTTTTCCCCTCCTTCAAGTTCTTAAGTTGTCTGTGAATTCTTCCATGGCCAATGCTTTCAAAATGGGGGTCTCTTAAGAAGGCACTGTGTGCTGCTTCCTTCCAAGAGGATTTTGCAAGTGTCCTGTGGTTTGGCTCTTATTATTCAATTCCAGTGGAACTGAGAAATAAATGGCTTAAGTGGTCACTTGTTCTCTTGTTCTTTTTCTCTAGTCACTGAGAAGAAAAATGATATGGCCACATATGATAGAAAATAAGCTTATCAAGTAAATTTATTATGGTCTTACCTCCTAGCTTTATACCAAAGAAGCCTTTTACAAGCCCTTTAATATACTAGATGCCCAATGAAGAATTTCATGATCATTTGGCCATAAAGTGAGTGAATTTTTAAATAGGGCCTTGGAAGTGAAATAATCTAAATATATATCTATATTTAAATATCAGTATAATCTAAATATACAGCTTAAATATAAAGATAACAACATGCACATTTTAATGTCTGCTACTGTAAATGTAAACCTAAGGTTCTTTTGTTTTTTATGTGTTTCTGAGACAGGGTCTTCTTGTAGCCCCAGCTGTCCTGGAACCCAATATGTAGACCAGGCTGGCCTCGAACTCACAAAGATACTCCCGCCTCTGCCTCCCAAGTGCTGGGATTAAAGGCGTTCTTTTTATGACATGCCAATAGTAGATACCTATCCTTCAGAAGCCATTCCTCTTTATCATATGTTATTTCAAAGCAGGGAAAATTATTTTATGAAGGGAAACAAATGTTTTCAAGTACATTGAGCTTCCTTTCTAAGTATGGTGGATCAGTCCAGTTTGGGTGTTCATATCTGCATAACTGGCTACTACCACAGAGTTACATCTTTCTCCCTGACTAAGAGGATGGTGGGGTTCAGACTTCAAGTTCCATTGCTAATAATCTGCTTGTTAAACTCCCTCCCCGCACTCTTACCATTCAGGCAGTCTTCCTGGTATTTTCTCTATTTCTATCCTTTCTTTGGCTGGTGGAAGCAATGTTTGTTAAGGGTGTTCTGTTTGACATCACTGCTTAGATAAGAATTATTTCTGTCCTTCAGGAATAATACCTCCTCATCGAAATGGATGTTTTCTGCCAGAAGTGTGTTCAGCCAGCACTGCCCACCCGCAGTGGTTGACGCTTGAGAACTCTGTGCTTGCTGTCTGTGTCCTTGCTGCCTGGATCAAATAAAGCAGGCAGGTGCAGGGTTTAGGAGTTACAGATTATTTATGGCTTTTTGATACTTCGTGGGTTTAGCTGGTGAGAAAAGTTTTATTCCACCCTCATGGACAAAACCCAACCAACTGTCTGGGCTGATTAAATTCAATTGTTGCATGAGTGCATGGCAGGCAAGGGAAAAATTATGGAATCTCAGCGCCTGTGCCATGGCAACTGGGCAAACAGCTCCCTAGAAGAACATGGATAATAGGAAATGACAGTATTTCTCTGTGTATTTTCCTTCCTGACAGTTTTATCCTCACATCTGCCCTGTATCCAGTGTGGGCAGTGGGCCATTGAGGAGCCACCTTGTGCTTTGGGCTGACCCCACTTTTCCATAAGCCACCTGGAAGGCAGTGTGCAGTTGACTTAAAGTTTCAAGGACACATACCAGGAAAGTTTAACTTAGGAGTAACTGGAGATGGGTAAGAAGCAGTGATGCTGGCAAAAGGATTGCCATCAGCCATTTATGTGAATTCAATGCGTATATCCTGACTTCTTATTTACTAAGATGATACTGTATCAAAAGCAAAATGAGTCACAGAGACCAGGGTTCAGGAGCTTTTGTCTTAAAAGGAAAAGATGGAAAATACACACAAACACAAGTCTAGAGCATCTGTGAATCTTCTTATTTGGGAAAAAAGTTGAAAAGCAAAGACAGTCTTTCCAGCTCTAGGAGCAAATGACGCATATGGTTGTTCCAAACAAACCCTCTGCTGTGAATCTGCAGGGGCTGGGACCCTACAGAAGTTTCTCTTGGATCCTCACTCCCTGAAGGGCCTTTTGCTCATCAAGGTCAGTGTGTGAGGAGATGGAGCAGGGTTTCTAGGGGCCCAGGAACAGAGGAATCAGGGGTGCTTTGAGTCCAGGCTGCAGGACCACGGACAGCAGTCAGTTGGAGCTGCTCCACTAACCCTGGTTCCACCCATCACCATCTGCTTTCAATTCCACCTACCTTTATCTATTCCTTTACTTATTGACTTTTATAAAGTTCACCATATATATATATATGTGTGTGTGTGTGTGTGTGTGTGTGTGTGTGTGTGTGTGTATGTAGACATGCGTTTGTGGATATCTGTTTTGGATCAAAGTCTGCTCTGCCGGTGACTTCTCTGTGAACTTGGGAAATGAACATGATACCATTCAATTCATTTAGATTACTAAATGAGTTAGCACAGGAACCCACTTTGATGAGTGTCTGACACACAGTCAGTGTGGTTATTGTTTTTGTATGCCTCTGTTCTCGCTTGTTTTGCAACATATCTGAGGCCGCTCCCTTGGGTTTGATTCTTTCAGACTAGACTCCTTTTACTAATGAATAAGCAGGGCCACTTTATTTGGGAGCCAGGGTGCTTATGAGACAAATATTGGTGTAGAACTTGAAGAATTCCAAGGTCTAGGGCATGGGATCTTGTGGCATGTCACCATGGGTGTGGGGTCCTATGGCATCACCATATGCATGGGTTCCTATGGCATGTCACTGCAGGTGTGGAGTCCTGTGATATGTCACCATGAATGTTGGGAGAGCACAGTGAGATGGGCAGAGTGTCTGCTTTGCAGCCTCCTTTCTGATAGTCTTCTTATTAGACTATCAGACTATCAGACTTATTAGACCAATCTATGAAGATTGAGGGCAGACCAGTGCTGGCCAGGGCCTAGGAGCCATGGATGAGTAGCTCAGGTTCCTGTACCGCAAATGTGCCTGTGGTCATCTGAGTGTACTCCAGTGACATGTTTGCATACACAGACACAGTGTATGTAAGGAAGATGAAAACTCTGAGGTCAGTGGCTGTGTCCACTGTAGCTTCCTACTGTGACAAGTGTTCTGTAGTAGTACAAGGTAAAGCTGGGAGGACCTGGACCAGTGTTCGAATCTCTCTGTTCCATGCTTTGCAACTGCCTGGGAGTCCACAAATTATTTCACTTCAGAAACTAAACCTGGTTGAGAAGATGGCTTAGTAAGTAAAGTTCTTGCCTTGCAAGCACAAGGACCTGAGTTTGGGCTCCAGAACCCATGTCAAAAAACAGGTAAGCTGAGCACAGTGGCGTGTGCTTGTAAACCCACTGCTTGGGAAAGCAGAGACAGGCATATTTGGACTTTCTGGCCAGCCAGACTTGCTGAGTTCCAGGTTCAGCGAAAGACCCTGTCTCAAAAAACAAGGTGGATATTGACTAAGGAAATCATTTGAGACTGATCTCTGGCCTCCACACATACAAGTACATACATGCATATGCACCTGCATACAATGAATATGTACATATACACATCACACTCACAAAAAATGAAAAATCAAAACCTTTAAGCCACAGCAACAAAACAAATCTTAATTTGTTGTAGTTAAAATATTTGGAAGCTTCTTAAAGTTCATCTTTGGTCTTCTCCCCATTTCTTCCAACCCAGGTTGGGAATATTACCCTCTGGTAACAGACCTTCCTCTAGTGCTGGTCACAGGTGGAGTGGTCCTCACCCACCCAAGCTGCTCACTGTGTTCTCAGCACACAGACTGGCTTCTGGGACAGATATAAGCATGGTTTCTTAACCATGGTGTTCAGGAGTCTTCAGCCTTCTCATAATGGGGAGCCACATCTGGGTTCTATATATGCCCTAAATGGTGGTGTCAGTCCTCCGACAAAGCCAGTCTCATGAAAATGGTCAGCTTCTTTGTCAAATCTCCAGCCCCATTTGTATTTTCCTTGCTACACAGGTATGTATCTGACAGGATTTGGGCATATGGCCTGGTACTGCCAACCACCCTAAGACAGGAGGTTCTGAGTACAAGGAGGTTCTATTGCAACCTTAAATTTTTAAAATCTTGGCAGAGAAAGTGATTACACAGCTTTGCAATGTAAACCTATGGGAGGTGTGGCTGGTTTTGAAAACAATGCAGTTTGAGCTAAAGTTTGCATTGGCTTTACAAAATGTAGAAGGTCATCACGGGGCTTTCCCTGGGCAGAAGTGAGGACTTTGAGACCAAGTTCAGTGATCACTGCCCAAGAGTCTGTGGCAGACTTCTTACTTCTGAGATGAGAAGCAAATAGAGGAACCTAAGGAGTAGCTCTCCTTTCCCTTCCAGAAAGTGCTGCCTATAATTCTGTGCATCCTTGAAGGCTTTCCTCAAACAATTCATTGCTCAGGAGTTCTTATTTTCACCCAGCCCGATCCTTGGCTTAAGGAGAAAAGGCAACTTCTAATTACAGCCTCCATTCAGATAAAATGGCTACAGCCAGGAACAATCATTCTAGACAAGATCCTGTCACCAGCATTGCCATATTTTCAGTATGGTGACAATGGCTTTAGGATAGCATTTTACAAAACAACCTGGGCAACTGTGTTGTAGATTCTGTAGTGCTTGGCCCTGAAAGCTGGCCTTGCAGTACTCATGAAATACACCCACAAAAGCATTGTTTCATCAACTTTCTCCAGCAAGTATGTTCAGAGTAGGTGTCCATTTTATACGCTGGGAATGGGCAAAATATGCATTCAAGCACACTAATTTTATGTTTACATGAAATAGTTAAATTATCAAGAAGTCTTGTATATCCCAGATTTAAAATTTTCTGAGACTGAGAATTTCTGAAGGCTTCAGTCTGGCTACATTTCCCATAGCTCCAGTGTCCCCTGAGACTGAGTTACACACATCAGGCTAAGACTCCAGTTCTTCCCTGTTCACAGGCAGAGGCTGAATCTTGGACACATCTAGGGGATTTTGTCTATTATCCATTCTACCTTTCTCTGCTTCACTGATTCCTCAGACTTTGAAATCTTCGTTTCCCTTATGAGAAGCACCAGCCCCCTCAAGAGTGCTTGTCTCCTTGTTTCTGTTCTGTCTGGGATACTCAGGTGACTGAAACTGTTTCTTTACCTCCTCTCACGTGTAGTCCTGACCCGGCCCTTCTCTCAATTGTTTTTGACTACAATAGAGCTTTGTTTGTTGGTTCACGGGACTATCCAAGACCCTGAACCCTTTACCTACACCTAGCCTCCAGTTTATGAGGCTGGCTTCTGAGGTTAGCTTGTCATGAACCTGCATGAAGGCTCCCTGGTTAGCATGCTCCAGTTGCGAGGAGGTCTGATGGTGACATGTTGAGGGCAGGATTCAGAACTTAGCTCAGCTGCTGGCAGGAATTCCCAGTGGGGTGGGCTGTATTCATATATACCCTACTTATGAGGCTTTCTTCATAGACTTACACTCACTCTCTTTTCCACTCAACACCCTGTCTGCAACTTTAAATATCCCAAAGAACAAACAAGCTTGTTTTGTCTTGATTGAGCTTTAATTTGCTCTATTGTTTTACAGCTTTGTAGTTTATAATGTGAAGTAGCCAAGTTTTCATGTAGTTCATGGATACTTGTAATTACAGGAAAGGTGATTTGCTGGGCTGTGGGGTTCATAAAGGTATTTGTTATTTTGCAAAGGTAGAGAACACCTCACCTTCTCTCGATGTCTTCTCTGTGAACATTTTGTCTAATGTCACCCCAAACTCATGAACACTGGAGGGTGGCCACATCTGCTATACCCTCTATCTTGGGATTCACTGTGTTTAAGATCCACTGGGGTTCATGGAATTATTTCTCCTTTGATGGATTGCCTTCTCAATTTAAGAATGAGTTCAGGAGTATAGCTCACATTTTATTTGAAAATATATTTTGTAGCTTATATAAACAAATTACAAAATACATTTTGCAGTTTATATCTGATCCACAGATACACACTTTCAAATGAATTTTTTTCCTGGAAACACAGAGGCATGAGGATAGATTCTTGATGGACATACTCCATCCTATCTACTTGGTCTGATCACCAGCTTGTTCATAAAACTTCAGGGTCTAAAATCAAACCTTAGCATGAAACCAAATTGCATTGTGTCTCATATGAATATAAAGCTCCACCTCTCAGCTTTTTTTTTGTAACACACACATACACATACGGAGAGAGATATTTTTGTTGTTTGATTGAGACAAAGTCTTGTTATGTATCCCAGGCTACATGAACGCAAATTCATGATTCTCCTGCCTCAGCTTCCAGAGTGTTGGGATTACAGCTGTATACCATCCTGTCTGGTGTACACATATAATTTCATCTATCTATCTATCTATCTATCTATCTATCTATCTATCTATCTATCTATCATCTATCTGTCTGTCTATCTATCTACTGTCTATCTATCATCTAGCATCTATCTAGCATATCTATCTATCATCTAGCATCTATCTATCTATCTATCTATCTATCTATCTATCTATCATCATCATCATCTATCTATCATCTATCTATCTATCTATCATCTATCTATCTATCTATCTATCTATCTATCTATCTATCTATCATCATCATCTATCTAATCTTCATGCCAGTCCTCATTTCCAGAGTATGGAACTCTGCAGTTTGTACCCAAGCCCTCTGTGAATAAGGCAATGGACAAACAAAGCAGGAAGGGTACAGGAACCCAGAAGCCAGGGGCAACTTTAAAAAATATTTTTATTGATTCTAGAATTTCCTCTAATGTATTTTTATCATACCCAGAACCCTCGTCCCACTTCTCTCCCACCTCATTAATACCCCTTACTTCATGTCTTCTATTGTTACTTGTCTTTTAAAAATATTTATTGTTTTTATTTTATGTGCATGTATTGCCACGTGTATGTAAGTACACCTGGGTTGTGCAATCCCCACAGAGGTCAGAAGAGGGTGTTGGATTCCCCTGGAACTGGAATTATGGACAGTTGTTAGTAGTACATGTATATTCTGGGAATAGAACCTGGGTCCTCTGCAAGAGCAGCTAGTGTTCTTAAATGCTGAGCCATCTCTCTAGACTTATTTGTCTTTTTAAAAGGGCTATTGGTTGAATTTGTGTTTCCCAAGTGCTTTTGGGTTTGAGTCTATCCGTTGAAGTCTGCTCAACCTACCAGGTGATGTACCAGTAAGGAAAATTGGCTTACCCTCTCCCAGCAGCTATCAATTGCCAGTAGATCCTCAGCTAGGGCTTGGACTTATTGCCCACCTCCCCATCCATGGCCAGGAGTGGCTTTTGAGGCTGAGGGGTGCTGAGGAGATCCTAGGGTGTGGGATACAAAGTCTCCTGTCCTGGCCCAGAACTTGAGTTCTTTTCAGCAGGTGAGGGGCAGTGAGTAGAGCATATCTGTTTTCAAACCATGGACCTTGAAATGCTGCTTTTCCCATTAAAAAAAAAAAAATCTCTGAAACATGCTTTCCAAAGTTCCCACACTAAAAAGATTCAAGA